ACGAAGCAGGGAGGGGTGACCAAGGCGGTGGTGCCAGAGGAGTGTCTCGTGAGACAGGAGGCGACACGAGCAGGGGGCAGACTCAGGACCAGACCTGGACGCTGCAGCAAACACCTGACCCGACGCAGCTACCTGACCAGACGTAGGGACAGGAGGAGACGCAGTGGTCAGTGTGTACAGGCTCGACCCCGGCCGACGAGTAAACGTGGCCAAGTGTCGGCCCGTCCGAGCGTCCGTGCAGTGGGTCACCCGCTGGCTCGCAGGAGTGAACTGGTGAACTCCCCCATCCTGTAGGTCAGCACCACTCACCAAGTTCGTAGAGAACGAGGGGAGGTAAAGACCAGACAGGGTGCCAGAGGGAGCCGCCGGACACGGGAGGACAGTGGAGAAGTGAGCAAGGACAGGACCCCCAGAGGGGTCTGCCAGAGAGACTGCCACTGGCCGACCAAGCGGCGTGAGTGTGGTGCGGTCTCGAAAGAAGGAGCGAGAAGCCCCCGAGTCAAGGGTGAAGGTGAGGGAGGCCGAAGCCGACTCGGTACCTGAGAGCGCGGACTCACCAGCACCTGAGGAAGCAGACGCACTAGCACCTAGAGCAGCAGCCTCGCTAGCACCTAGAGCAGCAGCCTCACCAGTACCTAGAGCAGCAGTCTCAATGCCCGGGTCGGGCGGGAAACACCGGTAACAGTCACCCTCATCACTAATAGTCACAGCATACATGGCAGCAAGAATAGCATCAAAGTCAAGGTCAAAGATAGCTACTCCCGCCCTAGACAGCTCACCCCAGCGGGGGATCTCCGTGGCCTCCGGGAACTGGTGACGCCAAGCGTCCGTCAGGCGGCCAAAGCAGCGCTGGGTGGAGTGCGCACCCCCACACTGCTCACCCGCGCGGTCGCCGGTGCGTAGGACGTAGGTGCACGGACCAGTACCCCCACCCCGCTGGCGTGCAGCGTACCACTCACGGAGCTGCTGAGGGGGGGGGATGTCACGAGTGCGCTGCTGCTGCTGCTGCTGCTGGCGCTGACCACCACCGGAGCCGACCCTCTGCGCAGCGCCACCCCGACCAGCTCCACCTCCTCCGCCACCGCCTCCTCCACCGCCGCCACCTCCGCCACCTCCGCTCCCACCGCCACCGCCGCCGCCTCCGCCTCCACTGCCGCCACCGACACCTCCACCCCCGCCACCACCCCCACCGCCACCCCCACTCCCTCCGCCGCCTCCACCGCCACCTCCACCGCCCCCGCTAGCTCCTCCAGCGCCCCTGCCCCCCTTGCCCTTGCCAGGGCGGCGTCTCCCGCTAGGGGTAGACGCCGCACCGACCGACTCAAGCCCAACGAGGTCGGCCGCAGCAGCAGAGGCAACAGAGGGCAAAAGGGGGGAGGGGGAACACCCCTCAAATATGGGGGTGCGAGGGTCACCACGAGAGGCTCCTACAGCGTCTATGCTCTTCTCCGCTGCTAGGAGGGCCTTCTCAAGGAGGTCAACGGTGAGAGTGGTGGGGCAAACTGAGAGGAAGTGGTCCCTGACTACGCGAAGGGAGTCAGGGAGGCGGGTGACGATGTAGTAGAGAGTGATGTACATGGGGGGGGGGGTTCTTGGCGCAGAAGTCAGCAGGAAGCGCAGCGCGGTAGCGAGTGTCACTAGTGCGGAGGTGCGTAATGAGGTCAGCGACTGTGGGAAAGGCAGCAAGGTCAGGGAAGAGGTATGGTAGCATGAGGCGGCTCAGTGCAGCAGTGGCAGGGGAGGAGTAGCGTGCAACTACAGCGTACAGGGTCTGAGCACTCTTGTACTGGCTAAAGTGCGCACGTTCAGAGGTAGGCAGGTGGGGACGCACAGCAAGACGTGCAGCAGCATCGCGTGTGGCCCACTATGAGCGAACAGTGGCGTCAGCATCAGCAGCAAGGGCAGGAGAGGCACCAGAGGTGAGGTCAAAGAGGGAGAGACCGTCTGCCCTATCGCACTGTAGGAAAAGCTGCAGGTCATCTACCCAGACGTCAAAGTCAATGGCCCGACCCTCAGCGTCAAAAGCGAGGACACTAGGGGTAGCCATGACAGCAGTAGACTAGTAGCGTGAACAGTGGGGTAAGGGCAGTGCAGTGCCAGAGGCGCTGCTCTTACCGGACAGGGCGGCTCGGGCGGCTCGGCGGCTCGGCAGGAACTGCAGCTCGGCGGCTCGGCGACTCAGCGGCTCGGGCGGCTCGGCGGCAACTGCGGCCCGGCGACTCGGCGGCTCGGGCGGCTCGGGCGGCTCGGCGGTACGGCGGCTCGGGCGGCTCAGGTGGCGCGGCGGCTCGGGCGGCTCGGCAGTAGCTCGGCGGGGCCGCGTGAAGGCGGGGCCGGGGCCGGGAAGGGCGGGCGACGGGGCCAGCAGAGGCTGGGCCGGGGCCGGGAAGGGCAGTGCCGGGGCCGAGAAGGGCGGCGTCGGGGCCGCAGAGGTAGGCGACGGGGCCAGCAGAGGCGGGGCCGGGTCGGGAAGGGCGGCGTCGGGGCCGGGAAAGGGCGGCGTCGGGGCCGCAAGGTAGGCGACGGGGCCAGCAGAGGCTGGGCCAGGTCGGGAAGGGCGGCGTCGGGGCCGAGAAAAGGCGGCGCCGGGGCCGCGGGGTAGGCGACGGGGCCGCAGAGCGGGGCTGGGCCGGGAAGGGCGTCGTCGGGGCCCGGGAAGGGCAGCGCCGGGGCCGCGGGGTAGGCGACGGGGTCGCTAGGGCGGCGGATCGGGGCCGGGAAGGGCGGCGCCGGGGCCGTAGGAGTAGGCGACGCGGCCGCTAGAGCGGCGGATCGGGGCCGCTAGGGTGGCGGGACGCAGCCGCTAGGGCGGCGCGACGGGATGGGGCCGCGAGGGCGACGCGACGGGGCCTCTAAGGCGGCGCGAGAGGGTCGAGAGAGGGGAGCGCGACTCGGGCAGGAACTGAGCGCGCTCCGGGCAGGAAAAAAAAATCGAATTGGTGGGCCCTAGGAACAGTTCCCACGAGGGAACCTACTCGATACCATGAGAAAACTAGAACGAGAATGAATGCACTATGAAAGAGTTGGGTACAAGTACTAACCCTAATTGGGTTGTACCCCATATGGGCTACCCCACTACAGCCTACACAAAAGCATAAGCTACAATGTTCTGACACGGCTCACACACACGTCACCCCCATACTCTCCACCCCCAAACCCTAACACGGGAGTGCGGTCAGAAGCTCGGGGGACGGCGTGCGGCACTAGGGCAGACGGTACGGGCCGCTCACGGGCCTGGCGCAGGCCAGACGAACCGCGCGCGGGCTGCCTGAGCCGCGCGCGGGCTGTCTGAGCCGCGCGCGGGCCTGGCGCAGGCCGTACGGGCCGCGCGCGGGCCTGACGCAGGCCGTACGGGCCGCGCGCAGGCTGTACGGGCCGCGCGCAGGCCTGGCGCAGCCCGTACGAGCCGCGCGCGGGCCTAGCGCAGGCCGTACGGGCCGCGCGCGGGTCTGGCGCAGGCCGTACGGGCCGCGCGCGGGCCTGGCGCAGGTCGCGCGGGCCGCTACGGGCGACGGGGGGCGACGCGCGGGTTCCTGGGGGCGCTGCGACGGACGACGGGGAGCGACGTGCGGATCGACGGGGCAGAAGACCGCCGTCCGCCCCGACCGCCGCGCGCAAAAATACGCCGTGCACCCGAGCGCGCGGCAAGCAGAACACGTCGCGCGCCCGGGGCGCGCGATAGGCAGGACAGCAGCGGAAGCATTAGGTGGCGGGCCCATCCACAGGATCGACCCAGGAGGGTCGACCTGCTCTGATAGCATGTCGAAATACTAGGCAAGAATCAGAAACAGGAAAGAGGCGGTTTTCACTAGCAGCAGTTGAGATACATATAGGAAACCCTAATTGGGTTGTACTCGCTATAGAGTACCCCACTGCAGGCTAGACAAACATCGACATTCTGACACATTTCCCCCCTCCCACAATCTCGCTGTCGCCACGCTGGCGAATCTTCCGCTACAAGTGGCCCGAGATGTGTAACTCACATTCTCGCCTCAAACTCTGATGTTAAAACGACCATTGAAACACTCGAATTGTATAATATAAAAATAATCTTATACTAAAATATGCCATATGTAACCACCCGGGTATTTCATAGGATTTTCCGTTGAGAGGACCACCCCCCCCCCCCCCCCCCCCCCCCCCCCCCTTCCTTTTTTCCCTGTGGTTATCATAATACCCCCGGGTGTTCTGTCCGGGAGAATACCGTAATTCCCCGTATATAAGACCCTAGGGTATTATGATAATCACCCCTAAAAAGGCTGGGGGTATAATTAAATGGTATATTTTTTAGAAGACCCGGGTCTGTTCACATTGAGATTTATAAGAATGCACGATGTTGTACATTTCAGTCTCGTTCGAATCGAACTTTTACAGCGTCCTGAATCAGAATCGCGCGAGGGCGTTTCCCTGACTGTGCACAGAGATTTGGCACGTCACTTTGCCCGCGTGCCAGCTCATCCTGACTGGACGCGCAACAAGTGAAGCCTTCGAAAGTCAAACACATTGAAAATGGGTGTTGACCCATTTGAAATTCGAAATTCGTTACCTTTTCAATTGCATTTTTTTTTGTAAAATCCGCACTTCTCTAGTATGTGGGGGGGTCTTATAATGTTAGGAGCCATTTAGGGGGTATAACTCAGATGTACTCGAATAGAGTACCCGGGTCCGTATTATAGACCCGGGGGTCTACAACTAGGGGGGGGGTCCTACCGTATATACGGGGGATTACGGTACGGTATTACTTTGGTATAATCAATCTCTTGCTCTCACACACTAGTGCAAGGTGGTTCAACAGTTCACTAAGAACGATTCCGCGATTACATCATCTCCACTCAAGGTCTTAGCCTTGCAACAATCCTAAGGGCTTTTCTCAACCCAACATACCGTATGTTACAGAACACCTGCCAAACATGGGCTCTCTAATGTTACAGCATGGAGCAATCCAAATACCCCATGCGGAAAGCAAACAGACTGGATACGTCCAATCCAGTCAGCCCTCATTACCAACCCAACTGCTGTTCTCTTTCACCCAATACTCTTCTCATGTTACTCCTGCTCAAGCGCCCCCTTCCAAACACACTCATCCCGAACCGTGGCCTAAAAAAACTCTTGCTTTTCGCTCCCCCAAACTGTCCCCTTTCCCCACTCGCTTGCCTCACAATCCCCTCTCCACTCTCGCTGCCACCTTCGCTTGCTTCCTCCACTGCAATCCAGCCCTTCCGCGCTTCATCACCCTCTGCAATATAATCTGCACCGTTGATTGACATGGGGCTCTCTGCACTAGGATTGTATGTGAGCCTGCCAGGGCTGCCCGTCATGCTGCTGCTTGAATTAGAAATGCCTGCGCCTATGGCATTCACGTCAGCAGAAGACGCAGCGGCCACATCACCTGCTGCAGCATCAGCAGAAAGGGCAACAGCAGGCGAGTCAGAAGCAGATGCACCACTCTCCTTGGCAAACGCAGGAGCAGCAGCCAGCGCAGCAGCAGAGTTGTCCTTATGCAGCAGCAGGAAGCCCTGCACCGCCGCAGGACTCACCGCCCGCTCGCGAAACAGCGCTGCAAAACCATCAGCGTCAGAAGCAGGCGAGTTGGGGAAAAAGCGGAGGAAGAGGCGGGCGATCTGGGCGGAGGAGGCGCGGTCGAGCAGCAGGCGGAAGTCGATGCGGCCGGGGCGGATGAGGGCGGGGTCGAGGCGGTCAATGTGGTTGGTGGTCATGACGAGGATGCCCCTCTCCTGCGCTGCTATGCCGTCCAGCGCGTTCAGCAGCCCCGAGAAGGAGAGGCTGTCCGCACAGCTGCCGTCCGCCTTGGAGCGCGCGGCCGTGAAGGCGGCGTCGATGTCCTCCAGCACCACCAGGTTGCACTGGTCGCAGTTGGTCAGTGCCGTGTGCAGCTGCATGGCATAGGGGGAGAAGGGCAAGGGGGAGGCATGGGATGGGAGGAATGGGAAGCGAGCAGGGCAACAAAAACAAACAGATTTCCTCCAGTACCACCAGGTTACACTGGTCGCAGTTGGTCAGCGCCGTGTGCAGCTGCAGTGGGGGAGAGGAGCGTGGAAAAGGAGGGGGGAGGGGGGGAGTGGCAAGAATCAGGAGAGGCAGCATAAACAAAGATGAGATGGAAAAGGGTGGGCAGGGGAGAGTGGGAAGTGTGGCAAAAAACAGGGGAGTGGGGGGCGGGGAACAACAGCGAAGTGTGGAGTGCAGGGGAGTAAGGACTGAAAGAGTTCGAGAGTGCATGGGATGCAGGAGAATAATGGAGAGAGAGGGAGCGAAAAGACAATGCAGGAATCAATTTAAACTGAAAAATACAGAATCGCCGGCAGACCCTTGCCACACTCACCGAGTCGTCGCTCATGCCGGACGAGGCGAGGCTGATGACAGCGACGCCCAGCCCCAGCTCGCCCGCCATGGCCTGGATCAGCGACGTCTTGCCGCACCCTGGGGGGCCGTGGAATAGATACCCCCGCCGGTGGGGAATGCCGCGCTCCGCGTACCACTTGGCGCCAGCCAGAAACTCCCGCGCGTCCTCCAGCAGCGCTGACGTGTCGCAATCCAGGACCACACTGGACATCGGACGGACCTGCTTGTTCGCAGACCACCGCCAGCAGAACTGCCGGCAGTTCCACCGCTGGATGGCTGTCAGCTTCTCTTCCTGCCGTTTCGCCATGGCTGCATCTGTAGCGGCCTGCAGCACCGCCTGTAGCACGGCCTTGCTGGGAGCTTCAATCACCAGCTCCTCCTGATTCATTGAACGGATGAGCTCTGAAAATTCTGCTTCGCTGTCAAGCTGCCCGGGGCTGTTTTTCCTTTGAAAGAAAACTTTCGACCCCCTGAAGGTGATGTGCTGGGCGGCTTTGAGCTTGGGCATGAACCGAAGCTCAGGCTTTTCAGGGGGGGATGAATTAGCGCCGTCATCGTCATTCCAATTAATCTGCAGGGAGTATTCCGATGGCTTTAACTCCTTGTGCGAGTCGAGCCACTCCTCCACCCACTGAAATGCCTGGCTTTCGGGAGAGATGCTGATGGTGACGTTCCCGCGCCGAATTACGTAGCTCCATAGAACCTGCAAGTAGGTCATTAGGGTTCGGCTGATGAACCCGAGCGCGACGAGCCATAGGCTTCCCGCGAAAAAATCGTTGTGCAGATACTGACGAAGAATGCCGTCCAGAAGGGGCGACGCGGCGTCAATGACGGTCGTCGCGAGCGGATGAAGCGGGGAGGCAGGGGAGAGCGTGGCTTTGATGACTGTCTGCGCGAGGAAGAATGCCGGCCGATTGTGCAGACGGATGGCCGTCAGGTTGAACACGGATGTGGCATTGCCGAAAGTGACGTCTGAGCGGTCCAATGAAGGATCGAACGGTGCAGAAGCCAAGGAGGGCTGACCACCGAAAATACCGGACTGAAGGGGCATATTAAGCGCCGCAGAAGAAAGTAGATCCAGCATGCTTCACTTTGTCGAATCTAGTGGCCAAGGGCCGTTGTAAGCAGGGTGCAACCGTTGTTGCATCGAGCAGCAACGAGCAGTTACCAACAGGTAATGAAAACGGCACTGCTTCGCATTGTGGGTGTCTAATGTTGTGACATTGCAACACCAAGCACGTTGCATGCAGCAGACCTACGATCGGGAATGCTACAGGCGACTGCTGCCACGGGGTGACTGCCATTCTTCGAAACTGCCTTCCTTTATAGTTCGAACGATCACCCTAGTTGACGAGCCGTTGCGTGTGAGCTGAAGCAGATGCCCCTAGAGCGACTACCATCGATGAGACGAGGCAACTTGCAGGGACATGAGTTTCGCGCGCCAAAGCAGACACGCGGCTCGGAAGGGCCAGACGAAGGCGTGAAGAAGAAGCAACGAGGGAAGGAGGATAAGAGCGGGAACTTTAGTCAGTCAGTAACAGGACAGCCCTCTCGCCTCTAGCATAGCGAGTTTGATTGATGAAGTGAAGTCCGTCAATCTTGAGTCTGTCAAGTTGAGTCGATCCCGCCTCTCGAGTTCGTAGCTTCCCATTCACGCGACAACTGGTTGCAATTCCCTCGTCTGTGTTATTAGATTCGGTTAGAATGATTCCAATTGGGTTTGGACGTGAGTAGAATAGGTTCGACAGTTAGGGTGCGTCCCCTACCTCGATCGACCCTGCCCTCGATCGATCGAGGGACGTCTACAGTGTCACAATTGACAGGGTAACCTTATTTCAAGACGGCTTGCGAATGTACAGTAACTGGTGTCCAACGATCTTGTCACTTCCGCTGATGACGATCGATGTGCCTTTGTGGCCACACCGAACTCGGCTTTTGTAGGATCGAGAGATTTCCCCCCTTGTATTTTCGACCCTGTCACCCAGGGCTCGCGATCGATCCGCGGCTGTCACCTCCTACCAATCCCGCCCCAATCCTGCGTTCGGTGTGCCCGATCGGTTTTTCTCGTTGACACGCGATCGGTGTGCCCGATCAAGGGAGGGGACGCGCCCTAAGCAAATGGGAGGGGAGAGTGCGGCTTGAGGAGCGACGTCTGCGGAAAGCCAGTGCGTGCGGAAGGATCAGCTTCTGGCTGGACAGACAGCGTGGCGGGTTTCGGGTTTTGCGCAAAGCACACTGCATGCGTGAAACGGAAGCCATCGCGGGGTGGCTAGTTACCACAAATTTGACCAGACAAAACTGCTAGGGCATTTTGGTTTCGCCAAAACAACGAATATAATCCTAACGACGGAGTTGAAGAGTTGACAAACATGGTAACCTGACTCTTGTTGATTCGCCATCCAAGCAATATGAGTGAAAGTGGTTCAGACTTTATGAGTTGTAACAGAAAGAGTGCACGTAAGTCAATTTCTAAAATGTGATTATTGTTACGAATAGTAATTATCGAGACATTACTGTGCACTCCTAACCGCAGCAATCGAAGAACACAGTACCGAGGCTGAAGACGAAAAGGCGGATGCAACACGAAGGGTCGCGCGGTTACGGAAAGATCTGGACCGTCGGGCAGACTGCATCAGGCAGCAGCAGCGGCGAGGATTCTGCCCCCGACAGTTTCGTTACTATATGGAGTCGCACGGTTAGATTTCGCTGTAATAAGGAAATGTACCCCTTAGAGTACATGACTAGCTAGGTTGCTTCGTATTCCCCTGTACTCTAATTTATATCCGTTTATTTGCATGTTTTAATCATCTCAAGCATTTTACATTCACTCTGCTATTGAGGTCAAGGGCCCACTACCAACACGTAGTCATGTGCGTGTCATAAGAACGAGCAGAAAGTTTAGAACAAGAAAAGAGGCGTTGCACTAGCAAGCAGTTGAGTACATATAGGAAACCCTAGATTGGGCTGTACTCGCTATGGAGTACCCCACTGCAGGCTAGACAAATACAACATTCTGACAGTGCGAACCTTCCTGAGGTGATCCTAGGGACGATCAAATTCTGATCGCAACATGGTATGCGAGCGACTCGGGAATCCTTCGCACTGCCACCCCCGAAATCTTCGACGATCGGAAAGTGGCGTCCGGCACATGCTCGCATGTGAGAATGACCGGGGGATCTGGTGGTCAGACAAATTGACGGCTGAAGCGCAGCCTAATCCGACTGCGACAAGCGAAGAAACGGCGACGATTGGAACCGCTGTCCTCGCACAACTGCTTTAGCGACTCACCAGCTTGGAGCAAGGACTCCAAACATTGCGGCACGGCGATGCGGGAACTTCTTCCCAACCCTCTCAACCGGCCTCAAACGGCCACAATACCGCCCCGCACACCTTCTCCCTCGACACTAATGGCTCAACTCCCAAAACTCCCCATCCTAGCGAAGAGGCAATTTTCTCGACACAATCAAGGCTTTTGAGCATTAAAAAAAACACAGACACACAGACACAGACACAGACACATACACACAGACACACACACACACACACACACACACACACACACACACACACACACACACACACACACACACACACACACACACACACACACACACACACACACACACACACACACACACACACACACACACACACACACACACACACACACACACACACACACACACACACACACACACACACACACACACACACACACACACACACACACACACACACACACACACACACACACACACACACACACACACACACACACACACACACACACACACACACACACACACACACACACACACACACACACACACACACACACACACACACACACACACACACACACACACACACACACACACACACACACACACACACACACACACACACACACACACACACACACACACACACACACACACACACACACACACACACACACACACACACACACACACACACACACACACACACACACACACACACACACACACACACACACACACACACACACACACACACACACACACACACACACACACACACACACACACACACACACACACACACACACACACACACACACACACACACACACACACACACACACACACACACACACACACACACACACACACACACACACACACACACACACACACACACACACACACACACACACACACACACATGTGTGTGCTTTGACGGCAGAGACTTCTATATTTCGAGCTTCGAGCTCGAGCTGTTGCTGCAAAACGCACAGATTTTTCACTACTTCGACGGGAGCTACTCGGGACCCGCTGAGGACACCGACGACGCTAAGACGAGGTACTAGAACGAGTCCCTGATGGCGTACGGGGTCCTACTGCGGAACATGTCGCCGGAGGAGCAATCGAGCATTCGCTCATACAAAACTTCACCTGCTCCAGCCCTCGACCCCTAGCGCCACCTGAACGGCGTATACCAACCGAATGATTCAGTTTCGTCGAGCCGCCTACTCCAGCAGCTACTGGAAACAAGAATGGCCCCAGGGGAGAAGACCAACAGCTACCTTAACTGCTGTCGGAACTTACGCGATCAGATCGCGAAACTGGGGAGCACGATCTTCAAGAAGTTTTTCGTGAATATCGTACTCCAAGGGCTCGGCCCAGAGTGGCGGCCCTGCAAGGCGCTTCTCCGACAGCATGGGATCATCTCGGAGGCCGCCCTATGCACCGCCCTTCTCGTCGAACAAAGGGATATGGACCAGCAGCGACAAGCGCCGCGACGAGAACGGGAACGCCTCGCCTTCTATGCCAACAACACTGACGAGCGACGGCCGCGGCGCCTTTGCTGCAAGAAGTGCAGAAACTTCGGGCACCTGGCAGATCGATGTAAGTCCCGATCTCGCCCTCGCCAGACCAATCCGAGCACCTGGTCCAGTCGACAAGACGCACGGAACGACTCGCGTCCAGCCCAGGAGTATCAACCCCATTCGCGCAACCTGAACCAAACGGTTCAGCATGAGCAGCAGCAGCCGCCACAATCGGCTCCCGTCCGCAATGTCATGGGGAACATGACAATAACAAAAGGATCGCATCGTCCCCGTGCATGCTCACCGTCACCTAAGCCAGCACATCACCCCATCGGAGCGTTCTCGAACAACAATCTGTTCAGCATGCGTCACGATTTCAACGATGATGACGCCCAATATTGGAATCTCCCAGTCCCGCTGCTCGAAAGTCCCCCGCACATACTTGATACGTGGGCAGCACCGATCGATTCGATCGCGCGCGGATAGTTTTTGAATTTCGACACACTGCACATCATTACTCCGCGACTGGTGCTGCTCGCACGTAACGACAACAGGCGCTACAACACGTGGTACCTGGATAGCTGTTGTGGGCAGCATATGGTGGGATCCGAGCGTTACATATCCAACGCCGTCTCCACCCTTACCATGACCTATGTAACTGTGGCGAACAACACGCGTCTGCGCACAAGCGCACAAGGAATCGTGGTGCTCAAGGCTCGAGGGAGCAGGACGCACATCCTGATGAACGATGTGCTAATCGTGTAGAACCTGCGCTTCAACCTTCTCTCGGCAACGCAACTCATGGACTGCGGAGTTGACCTCAGCACCGACCCCGGGACCCGCGATATCCTGCTTCACTACACGATGTCAAACAAAACGCGCAAGCAGATCGGAAGGGCGCACTCAGAGAACTGAGTCTCCCTCTTTGACTACGACATTCCCGACTGCAGCGGCGATTCGCAGGAGCTTATCGATCTCGTTCACTTGCGCTTCGAGTACATTCATCACCACGACTAGAAGCACCCAGACGGAAGACCATGGGTGCCGCATCATCTGTCAGATTTATATGACATAGCTACTGTAGGCTATAGTGGGGTAACACATATGGGGTACAGCTTTCTAGGGTTTGTACTTGTACCCAACTTTCCCTTAGTCAAAACATTCTCGTTCATTTTCTCATGGTATCGAGCAGGTTCCCCTGTGGGAACTGTTCCTAGGGCCCACCACTTTTTTTTTTCCTG